ACACCTCTTCCAGCAGCAACCTTAGTTTTTCCCAGGAGGTCTCCCATCCAGGTACTGACCAGGCTCACACCTGCTTAGCTTTAGTGGGTTGCCAGTTGTGAGTTGCAGGGTAATATGGCTGCTGGTTGTGGATGTGGCAGAAGTGCTTGCTCAGGGTGTAATGAATTGGTTTGAAAGTGCAGGAGTACAAATGGCCATCCTGACATTAACCTGTCCAGTTTTTTGAAGAGGGAAATAAAAGTGGGCTCTTCCGAAAGAAATAATCTTTCCCGTTCTGATGGTTAATTTGTGGTTTGCGTCTTAGATTTTCTACAGACGGTTTAGACTTTAGAAAAGGTACCGTAATTGTTTTGGAACCCGCTGTCCCAAAACTTGGCATTTTGAGGTCAGTTTTCCTCATTGTTTTTAGTCTTTGGGGGCCAGCACTTTTTAATGTTATGGCTTTAGCAGATATGGCCTTAAAGCTATGTGTATTAACTATGAAGGGCCTGGCTTCGGAGGAGATGCAGGCTACATTAAATGTGGCCTGCAAGATAATGGACAGCATTACCAAATCTGAGATCAATACTCAGCAGGCAGGAGTGGAGCTCTGCACACTGTTTTCTCTTTGGCCCTCTCATTCTCTGTGGTATTGCAAGCTAAAAATAAATACAACTCTGGCATGCAGAACTGTGGGAGTATTTTTCAATTAAGCCTGGTATCTCTGTATTGCTGTGAATAGAGTACAGAAAACAACAACGGGGATCTGGATTCTTTTGTTGCTGAGATATTATGGGCACATCCACATCCGGGAGCTGTGCAAAACTTGTGTCGCAGGGTACCTTCTAAAGCTCTGGCGTTAACGTTTTTTATTTGTTCTTCACCGGGCAAAAGCTGAAAATGGTGGCCTTTTGCTGTGAACGTGTGCTCTTTGCTGGAATTATTCGAAGGTTCATCAGCTTCATAAAAGAGATCTAGGGGCCAGGAAGAGACAGTCACCCCTCAAGCCCTACTGAGTCATGGTTGTGTTCTGCTGATGAATGGAGCTCCTTTTTCGAGGGGAACGTTTCATCACCTACGGGAGCTGGTTCCCCAGCACCCTCACAGGGCCAAGATGTTACAAATGGTTGAGTATTAAATTTAAGGCATGTAGGTGCCCCGTCCTCCCTGATGATTACATAAGATGGGCTTCTCGCAGAGCAGGAGAGGGACACAAATCAACACAGAGGAATCCTGCTGACTAAAGACATAGAATCCTTCTCAGCCCTATTAATAGGTCTGGCCAGAGCAACGCCTCCTGTCCTTAATGATACTCTACTAGTTATCCTGGTTTTTGTTCTAACTGGGACCTTAATCTGCAATGCTAATTGCTGCTGCCAGTAATTGATCTGCTTTCATGTTCAGGCTTTTTTTTTTCCGCACTCAGGCTTTGGTTTCTAAAGTGCCCTTGTCCATTGGCTCTCCATTCTAGTGCTAGATATACCCCGATCATCTTCTCATTTTTGCAGTTCTTAAACACAGGCTAAATAGTTTACGGTTTTTCATTTGGGGCTGAACAGCATAGGAATTATCATTACAGCATCTTGCATACATTCTTTGTTTTAAATCCATATCCTTTTGCATACTTATTGTAGGTGCATTACACCATCTTTATAGTCCTAACCATATTGCTGAACCAGATTATCTGATTCTTCAAGAAGGTAGTAATTAAAATGTCAAGTTATCCCCCTGTTTTTTAATTTTTCTAATACTGTTCAGTTATAATTAGTGAGTTTCAGGACTGCCCACATTCATCTGAATGAGCTAACCTGATCAGAAAAACAAATGGTTAAATCTTGTATCTCTAAACAAGAAATTATTTATTTTCAAGTTCCAAAAGTCATGAAAACCGCTAAGAACACGTCAAAACAGTTTTCACTGAAACGTGTGCGAATGTACACGGACATAGACCCTGAGGTTCTGCCAGCAGTACTTCTGTGTTAAATGAGCTGGCTGTTGAAATCCTTTGAGATTGTAAACCTGCTCAGAAACCTGCCGTGTCATTTCCATCTTCAGTTGGAGGCTGGAATACAGTACAAAAAAAGTTAGTGTTTTGTAATACAGCTGCCAAAGTGCTTGCTGTTTTAAAAAAAGTACTTTTTAGTAGGACTTGGACCACATCAATGGGTCGCTGTTATGTGTTTGGCAGGGGGTTTACCTTGATTTATTTTATTAATTATTTTTTATTTGTTATTTTAGAACGTCTCCGCCTGCCTCCAAGGGAAGTATATATATAGCCTGAAGCGCTGTGTTATTCATATATTAGTGTTGCAAAATTATGTTTTTTTACAACTTTGGGTGGCTCTTGCTCTGATGAGAACAGACCAAATATCCCAGGGCTGTTGCAGGGGCTGCGATCTGCCCTGAAATGAGACATGAGGTTTTGAAGTTAGTCCATGATGTCAATGCTTTAAATTAAACCACGGCTTGCCAAATGGCGCTGAAAACAAAAACTTTCATCCTAATACTTGAGATGAAGTTTTGATCTGTTCAAAAGTACTGTCAAAATTGCAGAGTAAAATAGCTTTTGCGTTGCTCACTGTAGACGTATTGATGTTCGCTGATTTGCATTCGCTCTGATTTGCAATTTGAGGCCTTCAGTTGTCCTCTTCCTGATGTGGTTGCCCTGGTCACTGCCGTGTTGCTAAACCGTGCAAGGCTTCATGACGGATTGCCATTGATGAGTCAGTTGTTCAGTGATGGGAGAGACGGAACAGACTAACCCTGAACACACCTTCTCAAATATGGAATGGAAACAAAAAGAGGAAGCTGAGAAAAAGAACAATGAAACATCCCTGAAGACCAGCGCTAAAATGTGGGTATTCTGGAGCCTGAAGAGAGCACGTTTGTTGCTGAGAAAGACTCTGAAATAAACACACGACAGTGAACAAGTCAACGATATTGAGGAAGGCTTGGCAGACTGCGATGGTAAAATCGGGTTAACCATAGCGACAGAGTGTGGGGTCCACTCTTGGCTTGCATTAATACAGGTCGCCCTGCTTTGTTTTTTAATCACCACTCAAACCAGACCGCCAGGACGTGGGGGAGCTGAAATGTTCTCTGCACAGACAGACACGGCTCAGGAAGGCGCTTCAGAAGATCTGTTATCACCCGGGGGCGCAACAGATAGCGTTCTCGAGAAAAACGGCTCGCGCTCGGTCTTGAGCTTCGGCCCATCGCTGAAATAATCCAGGATGTCTGCCATCGTTGCTGGGCCCTCTGTGGCACCCAGAAAAGGCCACCCAGCAGGGCCAGGTGCCTGTGAAGTGATGGCGAGTCGCCAGACACCAGCGTGTCTTTATCTCATTTTAATCAGCAGTGCAGCAGTGTGATCGGGGCGAAAGTGGGTCGTTGTTTTCTTTCCCTGCCTGGCAGGTACGGAAAGCTCTTTGTCGGGGGAGGTCTGTGAAGAAAGATTCTGAAAACCGAGTTCTAAAGGTAAAAATTCTCTGGAACTCTGAAGTTAGTTTCAGGAAACAAGTGAAAGGGGAAGAGGTGATTCTGGGAATCCCTGGAGTTTAATTTAATGTACCAGGTGAAGCGTTTTGTCTTTCTTATGAGGGCTTAAAAAGAATATGTTCTAGTGCCTTCTGTTGAACATGGGCAGTCCTTGACTGTTATCCCCTTTCTTCTGCGTTTGAAGATTTAAAACTGAGCCTATTTATGTTCTAATTACGGTTTGTGGAGGCAGTCATGTGCCCTGATGGAGATTTCAGTGTTTTTCCAGTACTTTACAGTGGCCTTTTTGAAATGGCAGATTTCCAAAGGTCTTCTCAAGATGTTAGGAGGCCTAGTGATTCGTACACTCCACACTCTACATACGTTCTTTCTGGCTACTTAGAATGGTAAACTACTACTTACCATTCAGATCGTCTTTTTTTTTTAATAAGTCACCGTGTTTGACTTCTTCAGTCAGATTCCTGAAGAAGCGAGATGAATCCCTGTCATTAGCCAGCTGTGACTAGGGTTCCTCAATCATGAGTGCACACTTGGCACAGTCTCCAGAAGCAGAGTTATTAATCAACCAGTCTCTCTCGGCAAAAGGGTGACTCTTCAAACTGCCCGGGTCCTTGCTGGCTTGCTGGCCTGTGAGGCCACTCCTGGCGGGGGATGAAGGCCTCAGTGGGTGGGCAGGCCTCTTCCTCGCCACAGCCGCCGCTTGTGAACGATACGCAAAAGAAACGGCAGGCGCATCCGGATTTCGAATGGCATAAAACACGGCATTTGGTCATTCTTTTTAAGCGTTTAATAAAAATTGCCGACTTGCATTTACAAATGCAAAGCTGTAACTTTTGATGGCGGGGGGGAAGGCCGAGACAGTTTGCCTGCTTCTTACCTCTCTTTGTCCTGCGGCTGAGGTCTGCATGGGCGGCTGTTTACTCCCAGTCCCTGCGCAGTGGTAGGGGAGGGACCCCTGCGCCCCCCACTGCTCCCCTGAAGGCCCTGCTGGGGGAGCAGAGATGGGACAGGGTGCTGGCTCCAACCCGGGCCAGCCCTTTCCTGGAATTCCCCTCCGCCGGAAGGAATTAAAGATAAGGCCCTGATGGGTGGGGGGAAATCGCCAATGACAATAACAGCGAAGCCATTTTATTTTTATTTCTGTGTTTCGCTGAAGGTCAAATGTGTATTTTTTTTTCTTGTGGATCCTATTTTCCATGCAACAATGTCATTAAAAAAAAATCTTACGACTCCCAACTCCCCAGCTCCCTCCATGAAGTCTGCGACGGTGACTACCGAGTATACAAAGATAGCGGACTAGCGCTATGGAAATGAGCACAGCTGAGGTGCAGCTCGTCGTGTGAAGCCCGACCATTTCAGTCAGCCTTTCTCTTTGCAAGAAGTATTAGCAAAATGAGTATTTCTGGTTAATCCGTGACTTCCACAGGGTGCTCACTCTGTTTAAAACACGAGAAAAGAGGACTTGGTCAGAGGTTGACCTCTCAGCAGGTAGCTGACCCTCCTGATTTTGCAATAAGTTCTAAAACCTGCGGTACACGCCTGCTACACAAGTGCTGTACACGGTACACAAGTGCTGAGAGCTATTTCTTTGGAACCAGAAATCACATGATCTCTATTTAAACTAAGACTGATTAAGACTGATAAAAAGCTTTTTTAAGTATGATTGTCAGAGGAATGCCATGTATTTCAATACTGAGGTCCACTGTTTTTCTGCAAATGTTATATATTACCATTACAGCTTGAAGGCTTTTCCCTTTTGTCTTTGTATTATTAGTTTAATTGGCTGGGTTTAAGGTAGATGTACCTAGAGCACTTCAGGAGAGATTGTGCTCACTTGCTAGAGGATTAAGTATAAAAGAGGGTTATAAATAGAGCTTGTATATTTAAATAGGGTTTTTGCAATATTTTACAGGCATCGTCTTGCCTTAACTCTCTGTTACTTATTATTTCTAATCTTGCAGTCTTGTTTCTCTCCGTTTGGATATTTTAAATTGCCATTCCACTTGTGTATTTGTGACCACAATGGATTACTCTAATCTTTTCTTAATTAACCAAGAAGCTCCCTCAGACGGCAGATGCAGGAGAGTTCCTCAAGAGCTGGCTTTACTCAGGACGGCCCATGCCCTTGGCCACCTACACAGTGCGCTCTGAAGTCTCTTATCCCGAGCTGAAGACTGGGTGCCCCCCTCACCACCTGCACATTTCCCTGTGTACCAGAAGTACACATCCTCTTGGCACGCGTATATTCTGATCAATGTTGTCGGCAGATATCCGGAAGGAAGGAAGGTCTTGCAGATTCGTCAGCCCTGGTTTTAATCTCCTCAGCGTCTGGGAATGATTCTGTGCGCTGCGGCCTGTGGCGGCACAAGGAATAAAGGAGACAGATGGGATGAAAGACTCTTAAGCTAAAGAGGATAGTGCTGGTACTGTCACTACTGACTGCAATTGTGTTTGACACAATGCGCTGGTTCAGAAGCATCAGGTGGACTTGGCGTGTCGACTGGTCGAGAGCTGGCCACGTGCACATCTCGGCCTCTCCGCTGCTGAAAACCTTGAAACGACGATTCAAACAATTCTAGTGCATCGCGCATTGGAAGAGAAAACAATGGGACAGACAGGATCTGGCTGCTTCTTCGCCATCTTACCATACAAGACTGGGGTGTTCCACCTAGGTGACATCTAGGTGTTTTCTTGAACCTGTTCAAGATTAGCTGATGTACGGTGAGCGTTCTGGCGCACTATGGCTGCCGTCGCATCATCCTGGTGGGGTTGCACATTGGTGGTGGTGGAGGGGAGTCCCCATTACCTGTAAAGCAGTTTGAGTGGAGTGTCAAGAAAAGCGCTGTATAAGTGTAAGCAATTATAAATTATTATTATTTTTATTATTATTAAAGAACAGAATTCCTGCTGATGAATCTGTGACCATGCCAAGAAAGGCTTCCAGCCCTACTTCCCTTTTTCTCACTTTGCTCATCAGCAAGGATGTGCCCGGCAGCAGGACGTTCTGCAAAACCGCCGTTTTCTTTGTGAACTCAATGATTTAATTTGATTTCTGAAACAAAACCAGCTCGTCAGCAGTATTTTTTTAAAGAAATTAAAAATAAACCCTTCAAAAAGCACAGCTTTGCAAAAAAACGTACAGGGGAAACACTTTGTTTCCTTCTATTTTCGGGATTTCGCAAGACTTAAAAGAGAACTTTTGCCAGGTCCTTCATCGTTCCAGTGTGGCTTTGATCCATAGACTTTACGTTGCGCTTTATTCAATTTGGAATACAAAACAAGACGAGAAGCGCTCTTCAATCAAATAAGCCAGAGAAATTCCAGCAATTCGTATCGGGAAGAGATGCCTGTATTTTGTAGTTAGTGCAGCTCGAGGTTCAGTAGCCAGACTCAAGTGTAACTTGGGCACCTAATAAACTGGAAATAGCTCAAAGGTCCGAAGAGTCTGATTTCATTCCCTCTGTAGCAACAGTGAGTAATTTCTAAACAAAACAGTGATATAACCTGTTGTTCACGAAAAACAACATCAGTCACTAGGTTTATTTAGCCATTTCTTAATCTGACTGGTACATATAGAGGGTGGATTTGCACAGTCACCTGTTCTGTTCAGACAGAAGAAGCCTTAATTCAGACGTACTTCCACTGCTGTGTGAATCGGGCAAATCAGGCCTCAGAGGAGAGAGAGCTGAAGGATGGCAAACTGGCATTAAACGTTTTTCTAGAATTTCCAGTTTTGTCGTGTTATCCCAGGGAATTTCCTAACGTTTGTTAAATTAACATAGCTTTCCGTCTGTTTAGAAAAACATGGCAGAAACAAGTGGAATCTTCTTGCCAAACTGTGGTGTGGTGTTCTTGAATGTCTTTGAACTGACCAGGCTTTGCATTTTAGGATTAGTATGTACATGTTTATTGATTTGTACAACATACCATCAGAATGATTTCTGCAAGTCACAAAGGGAGTTATTAATCTGTTGTTGTTTTTTTAATCACTTTGTTCATTAAAAATCGGTTATTTTGCAAATCAATCTGGTGTGGTCAAAATCCTTTTCATTTCATTTCGACATCTGAAAAATTCATTTTCGGTGGCTGTAGTTCTGCGACTTGAAAGATTTCAGGCACCTGCTGGGTTCTTGATTGAAGATGAGCATTTTATGTGTGCAGTTTTGGAATTAGGAAGGAATAAAATAGCAGAAGCAATCAAGTATATTAGAACTATACCCACCCATATATAATTAAATGCAAAACCAGTATTGACCTTGTGGAGCAAGCAAATGTTGATTCAACACTGGAAGGTAAAAAGAGTAAAAGGGTTCTTTGGCTGTTCCTTGTCATGATCTGCTTGTGACAGTTGAGCATGGATGGTGGGACGTCACATGTCCTGGGTTTGAGCTCTGGGAGAATTATACTTGTGTTCCTTGAGCACTGCAGTGTGACACCACAGTGCTCAGGCCTTTCATTGGTCTGAATGTTCTTTCAGTACATCAACGGTGGAAACCTAGAGCAGCTGCTGGATAGCGAAAAGCACCTGAGCTGGACGGCGCGAGTGAAGATGGCGTACGAGATCGCGATGGGCCTGAGTTACCTGCACTCCAAGGGCATCTTCCACAGAGACCTCACCTCCAAGGTGTGTGCGAAGGCAGGAGAGGCCATCCGGCCTGCACACAGTATCACAGACAAAATTTGTGCCTTTATTGAAAGCTTTCTCTTTTTTTTTTAAATTCAAATTGTTTAAAGTATCACTACAAATTGTTGTTTTTTTCCCATGGCAACATCCTGCCAAAAGATTTTAATACTGACGTAAAACGGACGGAATCTGTTTCACTGATCTGTTGCGCTCGTGTGTTTCTCCGCAGAACTGCCTGATAAAATGTGAGGAGAACGGCTACACAGCGATAGTTGGAGATTTTGGTCTGGCAGAAAAAATCCCCGATCACAAGTGAGTTCTATGTGGCGCGTTTAAGGAGAGAGAAACTAGACCTACTGTATCGCTGCACCAATATTTCTGTAAGGCCACGGGACAGCACAGCATCTGTCTGGATATGCCTAATCGCATTTGGAAGGGAGAGGTCATGGACTTATCCTTAAAATGCAAGTATTGGTAAAAACCCTTCCGTGCCTGGTCCAGAACCTGATAACCACTTCGAGAGGCAGCACACATGTCCCCGGTGGTGTTCAGTTACGAGCCTTAGCCACTCGATACAGCCCTGACCTTTGCTAAAACTGTGCCCAGCAAGTGTGAGAGGTGAGCTGCTGAGTGCACAAACGGTGGGCCCATCAAACAAAAAGGGGAAGGGAAAAAGAGCGGTTAAGCCCTTCTTCGCTGTTTTATTCAAAACATCCCTTTTGGGATTAGTCAGTTGACCTCAGTGTGGTTTTGGCTTTCAGAAGGCCTTTTTGTAAACAAGACTTAAGTTAGAACACCCCAGCGGAGCAGGTTTGTCAAATTCCAATTATTGCACATCTGATGAAGTCCTACAGTTCTGCACATCGACTTATCTGAACTCTGTATTATTTTCCCATAGTTTGCATCCTTAAAATTGCATGAGCACATCAACATAAGAGTATTAAAAACGACTGACTGACCTCAGCTGAAGCCCAGTGTGTTTCTATTCTGCATTATTATTGTGGTTTTTTTGCATGCTAAATTTGAAGACTCTAAACGACATTGTACTCTTTCATAGCGATTGTACAGACACTTGCACTGGGAATATGGAGGCTAACCCTTTGTGTTTCTAGGTTAATGCTGCTTTTGTGAAATGCCAGTTCCTTTTGTTTCCCTTGCTTTGCCAGTTTTCCTCCTCCTCAGGCTCCAGAATATCCATGTGCACAGTCATGGAAAACACTACAATAAGTCTTTTTAAAGCCATCAATAGCAAAATTGCAATGGAGGTTTTATTTTTTTTTAATCTTTGATTGGTCCCTTGGTATCCAACAGAAATGAAAGGGTTCACGAGCAGGCACTCATCTGACATTCTTCTGAAAAAGCACTTCACTTAGAGCTTTTCTGCTTTGAAGTAAAACAAAAATGCCCTGCAATCGATTGTGGTGTCCGTTTGATCTAAATTTAACTGGCGTTTAAAGTTTCAAGTAGAGGGAAGTCTTTGCCCAGGGTGAGATCTCAAAACCATAAGTGGCGGTGGTGAGCCTTCCTCTGCTATTATTCACGTCCCCATTAATATTTGCAAGTGAGCATATGGAAGGAGGAAGCCTAACAACAGGCTAGCCCTCATCTTCGCCACAGGCCCTGAAGTGGACCGTGACATCAGATTTTAGATGTCTAACCACAGCACTGTTGAGTCTATTTACAGGAAAATTGCTGTAGTGTGCAGATCAGAATGTTGAATGATTGGCAGCCTTACTCTGGCAAGGAGAAGCAGGGATATATACATAGAAGCACTGTGTGGACCACTGAATTTTGACAGCTGTAATCATAAGCATTGGCACATCTTGGCTCGGGGCAGGTTCCACAGACAGTCGATCCTGTCAAATTTGTAATTGCTTTCCATCATTTATTTTTAATGACGCTAGACGAAGAACCATAAACCTGTGCAAAGTTTGGAAGGAAGTCCTGGAAACAACGAAATGTATTTGTGTCAGAGTGCTAGGTCGTCTGAGCTGTGAGGAATATTGTGTTCAAAAGTAAACCCAGGAAGAGCAAATAATACAAAGGCAGCAATAGAGAGCCATTCTCTCCCTGACTTCTGGACACATGAGATTGATCAAAAACAGCCACAATAATACAGAGTATTGTGGTTTTGTATTTAGACCCAAGAAGTAACAGACCACTGTTCAAAATCCAAGACTTGCCTTTTTGGGGTTTTGCAAGTCCCTTTTGAAACAGAAATGATGTTTCCCTGCTTTTGTGCAGGTGCTGAATGTGTAGAGAGCATGAGATGTTTCTAACAGGTAATATCACGAACGTTGCGCAATATGGAGTTCCTAGACTGCTTTTTTTAGAGAAAGGTCCTTCTAACATATTTTGTAAAGGAATGAATCTGCAGGATCAAACGTCTGTGAAGTCCATTGGCAGAATTTCTTTTAAAACAACCCTCTTGTTCAAATACAAAGAAGAATCTGGTATTTGAAGTATATTTCATATGTGGGCCTGCGAGTACTTCAGCTTTAGGTGTCTCCTTCAGCTACATCACTGTCTTCTGTTTGTAATTGTAACTAAATTACAATTTAAGTGACTGTCCAGTGGAAATTCCTGTTGGAATGGTATAGGCACAGTTCCTGGGATTTCACTCCTGGACCTCTCTGCTTCCGTTTGAGGATGTAAAGTGACTTGTGTGTGCCGGTGAAGTGTAATCCTTCAGCTCCATTTCTCTGCGTAGCTCAAACGGGGAGAAGCTGGCCGTCGTGGGGTCCCCATACTGGATGGCCCCGGAGGTCCTTCGAGATGAGCCCTACGATGAAAAGGTGAGTTGTAACGAGTTTGTTGTCTCCTTGCCCTCGCGACTGAAGGAAAGTTCTGAGGAGGTTTTTGAGACGGATTGCCGCAGTACTTAAAAAAACAACAAATGAAAATATGAACCATTTAATTGTAACCCATTAGTATTCAAATAACATATACCCCAGTTTCAAGGTTGTCTCAGTCTGTGCATGGCATTTAAGGGCTGGGGCTCGAGTGATGGTTGTCCTTAGCTTTTCCCCACTGTGTTTTAGTGTTGACACATTTACCCAGGTGAAAGGCGTGCAGTTTGCAGTGCATTTTATTTTTGAACTGTTACCAACGCGGTGTTCCTCACTATTTCCAGGCGGATGTCTTCTCCTATGGCATCATCCTGTGTGAGGTCATAGCTCGGATACAGGCTGACCCGGATTATCTGCCACGCACAGAGGTGAGTTTGATGGGTTTTCAGGGATACATGCGTACGGTATATAACAGTCAGCAGTTCAGGAGGAACCAGCATGACCTTGAAAAGCAGGCTGGTGGATTTGTTGAAAGCAAGTTTGATATGAGGTTTTACAGATGTACTCATGCTTTTCTTTGTTACTGGCAGAACTTTGGGCTGGACTACCATGCTTTTCAGCACATGGTTGGAGACTGCCCCCCTGATTTTCTGCAGCTGGCTTTCAACTGCTGCAATGTAAGTATCACCTGGCATTCACTGGGCCCCTCTGATCCTTCCTGTGCTTAGGAAGATGCTCACCATCTTGTCTCTTCCAGATGGACCCCAAGCTCCGTCCCTCCTTCCCAGAAATCGTGAAGGTCCTGGAGGAGATCCTGCCTCGCCTGAAGGCTGAGGAATGCGAACGAGAGAGACTTCACTTGAGTGCCGAGAGCATTGACCGAAAGACTGTCGTCAAAGGTGCAGTCGCCAAGCTTAACACAACTAAAAACAAAAGTCACCCAAGCCAAACATTTGCGTGCTGTTTCATGCGTTTAAAAATGCAAGCCTACACAACTGAAATGTGTGACACTGATCGCAATCTCAAAACTAGCTCCTCAGTGGTGCTTTCCTCTCTTGAGGAAGAAGGTGGTTCCTTTTATTTGTGAGTGAACAAACATCACCTGATTATTAGTTGAAATTTTGTTCCCTCTTCGAACTCTAGTATTGGGCCAGCTGCCTACACCAGGCCGTCCAGTGGTAGACTTTCATCTGTGATCCACTTTTTGCAGCTTGGGGAGGGGTACAGCCCTCTGCTCCCCAGTGTTATCTGCTGGAGCACCACTGCACTGAAATGGAAATCCTGACATGTTGCACCCTGGGGGGAGAGAGGATACCGTGCCTCTAAAATGGAATGCGGCCAAAAACTGTTCTGTCACACTGCCTCTTGGAATCGAGGTCATCGATTCTTCCACCGACTGTGTCAAAGGCAGCATCCAGGGGCGTTACATGCGCTTAAAAAAAATATAACAGAATGTTGCCGGAGTAATGTATAATTACTCCGATTTCTGAATTTCCAAATTACACGCACAAGTTGTCACACTAAGCTGTCAGCTGCGTATGGATTTTTACAGTTCCCAAGTGGGAAGGAAGACCCTGAGGTCTCCAACTCAGCTGTGTTCGATCAGCAGAGCTAGAAATGACTTGGGTTTTACATCCCTACAGCAGAATGTTCTGCACTATCAGTTAACATCCATTAAATCTGAATCGGTCATGTTTCGGGACAAGGAAGTGCTTTCCACTCTTGGCAAGTCTCAGTACATTTATCTTTCAGGTTGCTTTTTTTTGTATATTACAGTGTAAGTAACCTTTTTGAGCCAATAGTTACAAAAATTAGAAGAATTGGAAACATTGGTATATATAAAGATGCTTTTGTCTGTTGTAGCATAAATAGTATTTAACTCCCTAGCAGAAACATTCTGAAGATCTGTCCACGAGATTCCTGTGTATTTGTGCGCACACAGCTGGAGTCACTTTTTTTTCCCCAACTCAAATCTTTTCTAGAACGTAAGCGTACACCTTTTCCAAAGTTTCAGATAATTTCAAAATAACCTATAAAGCATCAGTTTATCTGCACAGTATTGAGCAAGAACATACATCAGAAGCTGGAAGCCCTGAATTGATGAGAAATTACCTATTTATTGTACACTTGTATTTTTTGTGTAAATATCAGCCTTGTTATAATCCTGAAGGAAGGCAGCACACCATCTGTTTGAACTGGGAAAGGAAAGGTTATAGCGCCATCTGGTGTTTGGAGGCAGCCATTTTCCTGTGACTTCACGTATCTGGCCTGCAGCAGCAGCTGCCACCTGTGCTGTCCTGTGCAAGGGGAGGATTTCGGTCTGGCGCGGCCGCAGGTAAATGAGTAACGTCTTGGTCTCGTCCTCCTTGAAGGTCCCGGTGAGAAAGGCCAGGGCATCAAACGGCTGAACCCGCTTGGGCTGCAGGACGACAAGATCCCTCCCAAGTCTCCCCGCCCCCGCCGGAACATCTGGCTGTCGCGCAGCCAGTCGGACATCTTCTCGCGCAAGCCGAACCGCAAGATCAACGTCCAGGACCCCTACTACACCCCCAGCAGGGCGGGGACGGGAGGCCGCAAGATTAACCCTTTCAATGCCCGGGAGGACCTGAAGGGCGGGAAGGTCAAGTTCTTCGACATGCCCAGCAAGTCCGTCTTCTCGCTGGTGTTCGACCTGCACTCGCCCCAGGGCGGCCTGGTCATGTCCCAGCCGCAGTTCCGCCACGTGCCCGGCGGGGTCGCCGGCGGGGCGGGGGCCGCGGAGCACTGCCAGGATCCCTGCCTGCTGCCGAGCCGCCGCTGCCGCTCGTTGCCGGTGTCGCCCGTGCTGCCGCCCCGGGACTGGGCGCTCACCGGCGCCGGCTGCAGGTGCGAGGCCGAGCCTCGGCAGAGGGCAGTGGCGGGGCGCTACGCCGTCCTGGACATCCCGCCCTACCGGCCCAGGCCTGGGGAGGGCGAGGGGGACGAGCTGGCCGGCCCGGCGCCCTCCCCCGCCGACAGGGGCGAGGCCATGGACTGCTCCAGCAGCCCGGGGAGCACGGGGGACGAGGCCTTCTACCTGGCCGAGGAGCGGCTGAGCCTGCCGGCCAGCAGCGGGGGCACGGAGAACGGCACCACCTATGAGGACATGGAGGCTGAGGAGGAGGAGGAGGAGGAGGCCGAGGAGGAGGAGGAAATGCAGCGGGACAGCTCCGCGGCCAAGTCCTCCTTCAGCCTCAGCATCTCCGTGGAGCCCGACGCCCCACAGGAGCCCTACCCCGCCTCCGAGGAGAGCTACAGCCCCATCGTCCTGGCGCCGTGCGTGGCCTCGGGCCCGCGGGACCTCCAGTCCAAGTGTGACATTTAAACCGCGCCGCCCGCCGCAAACAAAGCCAGTGGAAGAATCGGTTCTTTTAAAAGCAACTGCTCCAACGCCCTCCCGATTAGGATTAACATGGCTGTTTTTAACTCAGCGATTCGCAGACTGATTATTTTTCTGTTTTAGGTGCTGTTTAATCTAAAACAATTGGACGAATCTCATGTCCTCATAATTGATGTTGGAAAGGGCATTCCCTTAATGCTAGCAGTGATGTTGTAGGTCCTAATGATCTCCCACCTGAATAGGGAAACTGTACAAAAAAACCTAAGGAATAATAGAGTAGATCCCCTTTATTAGCATGGCGGATGAAACCTCACATTGAATCAATTTGTTCTTCAGTTAATGTCGAGTTTCCCTGTCCCGCAGAATTTGCAATTGATATTGAATTGTTTTTATTTAGGAACAACACGTTAATTGTTCCACACAAGAAAACTTTTAATGGGATTACACAATGAACAATGAATTACAGAGAACCTTTGTACAGCTGATTTTGATGTGGTTACTGGGTTATGTTCTCCTGATTATATTTGTATATATTATGTTGTCCCAAAGAAACCACCGAGTTTTCTATCCACAGCCTTTGAAGTGCCGAACAAAGTATTTATATTTAGCAGCCATGTGTATTTACACTCCACACCCCTGAGTGTTGGTCCTCACCAGGGCTGGTTTAACATCCAAGAGGGGAAATACCCGTCCCAGATCGAAATCACATATTTTCAGTATACAGCTCGCGGGAAGCTCAACTTTGAAATGGTCAGTCATTTTGAGAACTGCCTAACTTTCAGTTATCTAATGATCTGTTCGCAAATGTGGCTTCTTAAGAAGCAGAAACTATTCTGTGACTGAAGTTAAATTTTAAAAGCAGTTTCAAAAAGGCGTTGAACTTTTGTTTTTAAAAAAAAAGCATTTTGGCTTTTTTTTTTTCTGGTGTCTCTCGTGGGAATATATTTGTTGTTTTCCGTGCACACACTGCATTTCTTGTCCTTTTTAAAAGGCTTGCATTGTCTCACGTGTTTCCCTATAAAACAGCTGCACCTTAAACCGCTATTGTACCCAATACAAATCAACACAAATTATATCTTAAATGTCCTTGTAAAAAGGAAAGCTAGTAAAACATACATTCCTCAGTGACTTTGTTTTGGCAGGAAGAAAGTACAGTATATTTGGTATTTAATGCGTCTGTTTTTTAATATATCCAGATTCTTAGGCATGGATGAGGTAAAGGCTATTCAGAGGGAAAAGTACAATATTCTTAGATGGAACCCTCTTACAATATGTCGAGTAACAAATGGGGCAACAGAAAGAAAAGGCCCATTTTCTTTGAAAACCAAGTCGAAGCTTCTTTTTTCATTAATAAACCAAGAAAAAGCATGTGTAGCTGCAGATGAGATCTTTTACTTCAGGTGGTCTTTTAAAGGTTTGCTGAAAACCTTCCAGCCTGGCTGTCCAGCAGGGTGCTTGGTGGATCACAGGAAGGCTCAGATCTGCAGAACGGTGACTTCCGTTTCTTGGCATCGTGAATGAATGCTGGCATGAATGAAAGCTATGGACAACATTAGGAGGGTTCAGGTGTGGGCAGCGTTAGCATTTTACCAGTCCAGTATTAATGATCTGAATGAAAGGTATAAAAGCGTTTTAAACTGGCTGTGTGGGGCTGATGTGGCTGGGCTTTTTCTTACCGGAATCCACTTCAGTCCCACTGCTTTGAGTCTTCTCAATGTAATAACACTATCGCTACAAGCCACTTTTAATATTGTACTCCTCTGAAACCCTTATTTATTAGCTCACACTTGTTGACCGGTGTTAAGAATTTCATAAACCCATCACTCCGAATGTTTTTAGGGGTTACGGATTACTTACTGTGTTTAATGAACGGTTTAAATCAGTTATCCGGTTCCTTTAAGCCCTCCTCTTCAGGAACACACTGAAAAACACTCTTTTCTTGTCATGTGCTGTTCAGTTCAGAACATTGCAGTTTGGTTCGAGAGCAGCTGTGAGGTCTCAGGGAAGAGTGTGGTGCAGTGCTCACTCTTCTCAGCCAACCCCGTGTAAAAGGAGAAAGCAAACAAAGCAAAAGATGTAATTAGAGTAACAACTTCTGCCTTCCTTGAGGAGGCTCGGTAATTCCCTTTTATAAAACGGGTCCTGTTGCTACTGGCATCTGAGCAGTCTGCCTGCAAAGTCTTAACCTTTGGGCAAGTCTACCCCCCCCCAGCCAGCCATGTGTCACTAGAACCCCTTCTGCACACCAGCTGAGCAGGCAGAGCAGGTGGCAGAAATCTGCAAGACCCTTTCACTCTTACACTTCGAACATCTTCAGCCACTGAGCAGGTCTGCTGAAAACAAAATAGGCTCTACTACATACTTAAACATGTAAATGGCACTTGAAACAATAAATGTATAACTGTCTCTGCATTTGTTTTTTAATGCAATTTTGTCACTACATTTCTATGCAATAAAGTAACTGCAATGGGATATTTGACTAAAGAGTTTTAAAGAAATCTATTTTGATATTTATGAACGTTTTGCTACGTCTTATTTCAACTTCTGTTGTGAAGAAACTTAATATAGCTTCTTTGTAAGATATTTAAAAGTTTTCTGCTGTCATAATAAATACCTTTTTTTTGATTGTTCCCTTGCTTTCCTCTCATTTTTATTTTTCTAATGCTATAGTCTTAAGTTCATTTTCATTCCTTTTGACAAGCTGATATGAGCATGATATTAGCGTTAAACGCTAAATTAAGGACATTTTCGGACTTCTGCCTTTCTGAGGAATGTCTGCTTACCTCCTGTTCCCTTTCTTTTAAAGTATTGTATTTGGCCCATTTTATTTGAGCTTCATAGCAATTGATGTTTCCCAGAAAAATAATAGACTTAACATTTAATTTGTGCTCATATCTGGAAGTAATTTCAACCACTTTAACAGAAGCTGACATTAATTGCATTTACAGAAAGTGTTTTTCACTAGGGCTTGTGTCACTAATTGGCATCTAATTGGAAGTGGCTATTTTTAGTCTCCATCATGCATCATGGCTTGAATACAAATATCAAGCTTGTTTACTGCTGTTGAGAATATTAAATATTGCTGGATACTACGGTTAACCCTGATGCTGATTCTTTTCTTTAGAAATGGCTCATTCGGCAAGCTGCTCTGATTAGTGGGATGAAGAGCAGTACAGTACTCACAATACGTGACCAATGAAAAAAAGAACCAATAACCCAAAGTTTTTTTTTTTAATGTTTGTGTTACAGGACAAACATTTCTCACAAATGAACATGGCCCGTCAGAAAGTGGCTGAGAAATGAGAACAAAGCTATCCTGATGTCACTGGATTAAAATTCATTTGCTGTTAAAAACTCATTTCTTTCCTTTATATATGTAATTTCATATTTTCTAATGTAATTTATCCAGGGAACAGAAGTCATTGTATAAAGCCTGTTTAACCAAATATTTTGCTACACATTTTAAACCGTAATATAGTAATGTTTAGACATCACTGTACAGCTCTGTTGGTTATGACGAGCAGATTCAGTCTATGACAGGCTCCCCAAAACCTAATGGAAATAGAAAACCAATGCACAAGAGGTTACAAACTGAATTTTGAAAATACTTTCATAGTATTATCTATTAAACAAAGACACTCCAACTCAACAGCAGCTGAAACTCAAAATTACTTTTTTCCCCGGTGAGGAAGGAACATCTTGCCAAGTCTGGATCAGGACCTGCTCCGTGTGGGACAACAAAATAAAAAAAACCCCAACAAATGTCTACAAAATTAGCTCTTGCCCCAGGCAAGTTCCATCTTTTGCGTGTGAGCTCTGGAGGACTTGGAGAAGGCGCTCTTGACAATCTGCAAGGGCACGGACTTGCCACTGAGGTAGAGTTTGTTCAGGCAGTCGGGAAGAGCAGCTCCTGAGCTCTCCTCGTCCGAGCGGCCCTTCAGTGTGGTGATGTAGGAGAAAATGTAGCCGGTCATGAAGGCATCGAAACCGGCTCGGTGAGTCCCCCCCTCTACCTTTTTCCCCTTCCCTTCTTCTTTTTCTCCCTGGGGTGCCTTCCCCTCGCTCTCGCTGGCATCTGCAGGCTTGTCTCCAGACGCTGCCTGCGCCTCGGAGGAACCATTCCCGGCCTGTCCCGCCACTTCCTCCTCCTCCACCACCATCATCTGCGCGTCTTCTAAATCCTCCCCCTCGGCTTCCTCCCCCCGAGGTGCGCAGGGAATCGAGTCCCCCGGAGGAGCCGAGAAAGCCACATCCGCAAGTTCCTCCAAGCAAGGTTGCTTATTGGGAGGGGCAGCGTCTCCCTCGGAGGCTCGGGCTTCCCTCAGAGCTGCTCTCTGCTTCCTTTTGAATTTCTTTTTCCTCTTCTTATCCTCCTTGGTCTTTTCGTCCTGCTCGATGATCAGGTCGGTGTTGTGAGACATGGTGCACTGCGAGCCGTTAGGGCACCAGCCATAAGCCTGTAGGAGAGATGGCACAGAGGTGACCTTTCTTTGAGAAGCTTGTGGGACAAAGTCCCAATGAAACTATAAATACGTCTTGAAGCGCAGTTGCTTAAGGAAGATGAGGATTGAGTCTTAGAGTTGACTCTCAAACAGCTCAGTCTCGCTCCTTATTTTTCAGGCATGTCACCCACGCAGTTAGATTTCTGCACCCTGTTCGCCGTGGAAACAGTCCGATCGAGAAATCGATCAAGAACCGGCCAGGTGAGATCCTCACATTAACTACTAATTACCAAAAGGGCTAGGAGGGTCAAAGGCCCTCCTCTCACTTGTAAGGTCATGTTCTCGAACAGCCGTTTCTGGCAGCCTCGTGCTTCTCCAGCAGCGGGAGAGGACTGCGGTGATCTCACCGAGAAGCGTAGGCAGATGTCCAGCGGGCCCTCCTCGCTGCCGCCCTCGGAGCAGGGCCTGAAGTCGATGTAGCTGCACAGCCTCCCGGAGTAGCTGCAGAACTCCAGGAAGAGATGGGGGCCACTGCCTCCAGCTTCAACCGACTTGCAATTATCCCGCTTGCTAAACAAGTAAAAGACAGAACTTTAAACACTGACTTCATCCAGGCCAGCTGACAAGTATGCAACTCTTTTTCTTCCCCATATTCACGTTTTCCATGAGGAAGGTTTAAGGATGTCTTTTCTATTTATTGGCACCAAATCTTTTATTTCATCTGGGCGGGTTTCAGGCCACTAAATTGTGAACTTGCTTCTGTCTTATTTGTTTTTACAGTTGTCTAGGCTTTTTTTCCTCCATAAAGTTGTTTTGTTTTCAAGCATTTTTGAACAACTGGAGCTTCCTGCTTACTGTTCAGGGTTTTAAACAACTACACCTCCCTGCTTAGCGTTCAGGGTTTTAAACAGCTGCAGCTCCCTGCTTAGCGTTCAGGGTTTTAAACAGCTGCAGCTCCCTGCTTAGCGTTCAGGG